TGTGAGGAACATGGTTTTTCTAAGTTTTGTGTCATCAGTCTTCTAATTTTATCCATTATTTCCACATGAAAATGATCTCAAATGTTGATGTTTTGTCAACTTTAGAAAATATGCTGCTTAAAATTAAGCCATAACCTAACATGTTCATCTTCTTTGCTGATATTCTGTCCCTGGAGGTTTGACAAGAAGCGAAACAGTTTCAACATAACCTCAAAAACAAAATCTGCTTGACATGCATCAACTGACAGATGTTCTGCTTGGTGTCTGTTTGCAGGGCGAATCATTGACTGTGCCTTCACTGTCACGTTTAATCCAAAGTATGACAAGCTGCTGGAGGCTGTGAGAGACGCCACCAATACAGGAATAAAAGTACGACTTGGCACCAACACCCCTCACTCTGATGTGTTTTATCTGCACGCTGCCTGAAGCTCACGTTTTCCTGTTTTGTTTGTTGCAGAATGCCGGCATCGATGTGCGTCTGTGTGACGTTGGAGAGGCGATCCAAGAAGTGATGGAGTCCTACGAGGTCGAGCTCGATGGCAAAACATACCAAGGTAGGTTCTTCTAACACGAGTCTTTAATATTCCCGATGCCGAGTTTGATCTGATACTTAGATTTTCCTAAATGTGGATTAAATACTTGATCCAAATACTGAAGAATGCAAAACTGTAAAGTTTATAAATTACTGATATCATATAAAGGATAGATTAACTTGAAGATGCAACTCCTGAAAGTGGTCTGACGATATCTGCTAGAGAGAAGACGGCTCATTCTGTTGGATTTCTTAGAACTCTTGCGGCTGTATAGCGAGAGAGTAAAAGAGTGATGCTTCTTTTACCTCGTGCATAATCACGTAATAATACAGTGTTAACCACAACAGCCAAGTTTAATTTTGTCCTGCCATCAAGTTACTTATTTACAACTCAGATGACCTGCCGCTGGCAACGTTTGTCATTGTAACTGGTGAAAGTTACAGTCAGTGCCGGCTAAAAATTAGTTTGTACACTGTTCTATGCAAATGTTATGAGAGAGAGAGAGAGATTACATATTAGTTACTATTGGCGCTTAGTGACTCTGGGTACTTTGCCAACCAGGGTGTCAGAGCAGCCACCTGTGAAGTCAATCATTTTTCACATTCTCGCTATATTTTCACGCCTGTGTAGTGAAATGCTGCACTGTAGATCCCTGCTGTCGATTAACGAGAGCAGCGCTGCAACACTAGCAGGCTGAGGTGAGACAGAGCAAAGAGAGGATCGAAATTTGATTCTTAGCCAGTACCAGTCTATTCAAATATGCCTTGATTGGCCTCGATATCAGTCTTTGGGACATCCCTACTGCAAATACAGCAATAACAATGTTTTTTCTGCATTTTTTTTATTAGAGACAGAGCCATGACAGGAAATGAGAAGAAAATGCTTTTGAAAATTTTTGTTTAAGTTGATCTTAGTTTCAAAAACTTTATTTTACAATATAGCTGCAATTAGTCGATTAATTGATTAGTTGTCAACTATTAAATTAAATAACAACTATTTTAACAATCAGTTAATCGTTCCGAGTAATTTTTCTGAGAAAAAATGCCTATGTTCTCTGATTTCAGCTTCTCAAATGTGAATATTTTCTGGTTTATTTGCTCCTATATGACAGTAAACTGAATGTTTTTGGGTGGGAAAATGATCGTCAGATTAATCGATTATCGACTGTAGTGTCTCAAAATATTGCCCTGTTAAAGGCGTGAAATGTGTGTATATATAATAACCTGTACAATCACAAAAGTACTGTTGTTTTACATGCCATTCACACATGTACTAATATATTTGTCTTGTCGCCTGTTTATTTCTGAAACTTGTTTCTTCTGTTCCAGTGAAGCCAATCCGAAACCTGAACGGTCATTCAATCGGCCAGTACAGGATACACGCTGGCAAGACTGTGCCCATCGTTAAAGGAGGAGAAGCAACGAAAATGGAGGCGAGTTAATTATGACCATTCTGAGTAATGGTGGCTTTTCTAAAATACTATATATGTTTTAATTATAATGGCTCAGATTCTTGTGTTTTCAAACACATTCATGAACTCTGAAGCTATGAGTGTAAGGCCTAAAAGGCTTTTCCAGTATCAGAAGTTACTGATTGTGTGTTTTCATGCTGCAGGAGGGAGAGGTTTATGCCATCGAGACATTCGGCAGCACAGGTAAAGGTGTGGTCCACGATGACATGGAGTGTTCTCACTACATGAAAAACTTTGACGTCGGCCACGTACCCATCAGGTAAGAGCTTGTCTGCCTTTGTGATGTGTTCACAGCCTGAATCCACTCACAAAGCATGAACCTATTATCTTACGTTAGTATAGTGTTCATCCAGTTATTTACCAGTTTGATACAACTACTGAAGATTGATCAAGGCCCTTTTTCATTATCCATTATCTGTAGCAATTTGTTTTGCATTCATGGACTTATCTCCTTACTAGACATAATTTATAAATCATATTTTAAAAAGCTTTTTTATCTCTTGCCTCAGAACTCTAAATTTTTATCTGAATTAATGGGACATCATGTACAATATCATGTACATAATCATTGAACATTTTGAATTAACCAAATATACCTGTTCTTGAGATTTCATCTGGTGTATGCATAGCTATATGCCACTTTTAATATATATCCATATACAACTCACCAAGAAGCAACTTTACTGTTCACCTTGTTTGTTTTTTTGGCGGTGTGTGTATTTCAGATATGTGTTTATATTTTCACGCTTTCTTACTTTGTACTGCAACTGCTGCACATAAAGTCTTATCTTAAAACATTCATCCTCAATGGAAACAAGAAAACTACAGAAGTGGAGGGAATAAGCACTTTTAAGCACAATTGCCTGTTACCGTGGTTATTGTAGGTCAATAAAGGGAGTAAAAATCATACCATGTGGTTCAATTCCAAATTAATAAGGTTGCTATGAGTCGTGACAGTCCCTTAAATTGTAATTTAATTCTTGATTAGTTGCATTATACGTGTACCTGCTGCAGTTTATCTGACTCCTGCAGTCTCAAGATGTTTTTGACATGTCATGGCCCACCCTAATGCTGCGTTCCAGGCAACTCAGACCTCCAAATATTTGTGAACTCAAAATATTTATATATATTTATTATACCCTGACTTCACAAGTAGAAATACATACTATCATATAGTAAAACCTGTTCTGCATGTAAATTGTTGTAGAAATATGTTGCCAATGTTATTAGGTAGCTGGTTACAGTAAAGAATCTCTGAAAGTTGTTTTCTCTGCACAAGAGTTTTACAGTTAATGTTAAAAATACCAAAACATTAGGATTATAGCCTACAAGACTTGACAATGACTTCATGTTCGGCGTCATGCACCATTCATGCACCTGGAAGGCTTTGTGGTCGGAAATCGGATGATATACTTTTTTTCCCAATTTCCCAGTTCCGAGCAGTCTTGAACGCAGCATCAGTTCTAAGGGTTGACACTTCATCATTCACTTCCATGATGTAGCTGAACACTGAATATTTAAATTGTGGTCTGGGAGTCTGTCGCTCTGGTAAAATAACCGATCTTTTCTTCCCTCTTTCCTCAACAGGTTGCCCAGAGCGAAGCACCTGCTGAACGTAGTGAACGAGAACTTCGGCACGTTGGCGTTCTGCCGGCGCTGGCTGGACCGTCTCGGCGAGAGCAAGTACCTGATGGCCCTGAAGAACCTGTGTGACCTGGGCATCGTGGACCCCTACCCTCCCCTGTGCGACACCAAGGGCTGCTACACTGCTCAGTTCGAGCACACCATCCTTCTCAGGCCCACCTGCAAGGAGGTGGTGAGCCGGGGAGACGACTACTGACACCCCAACCCCACCCTTCAGCACCACCGCCCCACCCGTCACCACCACACAGCACCTCCAACAACTCCTCCTTCAGAGAAACAACACAGAGCTTCTAAAACAAGACATGGTCATCTCAGAGGAGCTTTGAAGGATGCCAAATGCTACTGTATTCTACCCACGATGCACCACTCTCACCTTGCAAGGAAGGAGGACTGGCTTTCTGAGTTTTCTATCATCACCCACAGCTAAATAAATTGTAAACAAGTCAACACGTTTCTGTTGGAGGAAGTATTGTAGTTTCCTTCACTGTCATGTGGACCTAATTTTACAAAACCATTAAAGGTAACTGTCAAACATTTATTTAAGCTGCCTCTGAATCTAATGCACCCTCGGTATTCAGAGACCGCGAGCGTGGGAATCTCCCTTACACCTGCCTTTTCATTTTCAAAGTTTCTACGGCTTCACTCTGAGCCTCCAGTGCTTTAGTGCTCGAGTTAAATTAAGCACAAATGCTACTGATGGGTTTAAGAAGTGGTTAGGCCAGTGCATGGCCAGAAATCTCTGCAAACAGACAATTCCTAACATTTAAAGCTCGGGGTGTCGTAGTACAAAACGCCATCTTGCTACAGACACCGTGCATATGCAGATGTATGTTTAGCTTCTATCGCTACAGGAGGGAACTCTGCACTCTGGCCCTCCTGTCGTCTTTTCTTTGATATTTTGTAAAATATCTTTGAAATGGTTGCCGCCCCTTTGTTCCCAATTACAATGCTTTCATTTTGAACTCCCTGAAAATTTTTTTGTAAGGAAAAAAAAAAGATGATTAAAATGAATTTGCTCTTTGTGGCTTGTCGTCTTCAGATGTCTCTGATCACAATAGAAGGAATGTAATCAACAGTATATGGAGGTACAACTGGCAAATGAGTGACGACAAGAAAGCAAATAAAAAGTTTCCAAAATGTCAAATTATTTTTAAGCAATAAAGGCAAAAGATTGGCTTGTTCCAGCTTCTCAAATATGAATGTGGTCAAATTGTTTGCTGAAATAAAGTGTAGCTACTTTATCTGAACTGTAAAGTGAAACTAATAGTTTTTGCTTTGATAAGTTAGTGATTTTGAGCTACATAAAAAAAGCAAGACACTGGCATCTTTTGTAGAAAAATGAAAAAATATTCTCATTTATTGAGGTAATTTTCTCTAGAAAAAATTGAGGTAACAATTTGCATAGTATAACTTTAAAAAATGTACACACACAAAGTAGTAACCAAAATGCCAACGTGTCAAACAAAATGAAGTGTGCTTTGAATTCCCGTCTGATGGTGGGAACACGACTGAGGTGGAGAATACCTTTTTTTTTACAATTTTCTCCAGTATGGAGATAAATATTACAATCTGTATACACTGCAGAAACCCTGTTAAATCGGGATATTGTATTGAACAGATGATAAATTAAACACAGTATGTACACATACCTACTTAATGGTGGGATAACAGTGAAATCTGTCGTAAATGCTGGTGTTGGTTGAACAATCAGCGGTTGTATAAAAACTTTAAAAAACAGTCAATGGCCTCTTTTCTAAAACCTCTGAAGAGGATTGTATATAAAAATACATTCGTAATCTAAATGCTGGTCTGGGTGGAACTGCAGCTGTGCAGAGTCCATGTTGCTAAAAAGGGCACTTTTATAGTACACTTAATACGAATGGTTGGGATGGTTCACGCTCTGAACACAATGACATTCTGGAGTAAAGAGGTGGCAGCATTTAGCCAAAAAACCAACAAAAACTAAGTGAAAGGGGAAATACTGAGAGGTTTTTCCATACCCTCCCCCCCAAGGCTTTGGCTCGAGGTCTGCCAATTTTTCCTGACAGACTTCAGAGTGAAAAATAAACTTCCTGCTCTGCTTTGTGTACAGATCTTTAGCGAAGAACCAACACAGAGTTAAAAACAGAGGTCACAACCTGTTCTGCAGGAAAATGTGCGCATTTCTCACAGTTAAGTGGCCGTCTTCGTTAAAATCAACACTTTACCTGCCTAGAACACAGGGAGGCCAGTTCTAGTGAGTGAATGACATTGTAAAAGCCTACATCCAGTTCTGTGACGACTATCTAAAGTGACTGAGAAACATTTCAGTTGATTTACAGCATTTACAATCAACACGCCACCACACGCAGGTCGGCAGACACCTTGAATACACCTGTAGAGGACAGTTGTAGTCGTGTCCTGGCCTGGGCAAGTCTGTTGGCTGCTACGGAGACACATCTTGGCTGATACTCTTTTTCTTTATAAAATACAACTGTACACAAATCCCATTCTTTTAAAAAATACCTACATATAAACACCATATACAAGAAGTTCACAAAGCAGAACCAGGTTTTAAAAAGGAGTCCTTCCTCTCTTTTTTTTTTTTTTTTTTCTTATTTAGAAAAATAGACTAAAAGACCCATCCTCCCAAAGAGAGAGAGAAAGAGTGATAGGTGGGGCTGTGCGGATATCTTCTTACTGAGTGGTCAGGCTGCAGCTGAGGAGGAGGTTGTTCAGGGGATTGTGGTCCTATAGTGGCCGGTCTTTGTCCTGAGTTACTCGCTGTGTGTAGAAGAGGATGTAGGCCTGAGCACGGCAGACCTCCTCCACCGAACACACATTCATCTTAGAGTCATTACAGTGAACCCAGAAGCCTGCGGGGAAAAAACAAGGAGAAACTATTTAACATGAAGGCAGCACAGAAAGAAGCAACTACAAGTCAATATGAATGAACCAAATGATTAGGCTGAACAAGTCTGAGAAAATATCTTATTGCGATTATTTTTACAGACACTGACTGTGTTGTATAATGAATGCAGATACATGTAAACGAGTCTCCTGGTTTTGAGTATGCTGTTTATAAATCTGGTTATATGTCTCCCTGTATCAATGACTGACAGTATCCAGGTTTCTAATGATCTGAGTGCAGTTGTGTCTTGATTTCTCCCCATCTCAGCCACTGTTCAGAAACATGGATATGGTGTTTACATGCCACAGTATCCTGATTTCTATCAGAGTACTCCAGGTACAAGTGAAAAGCAAAGTACTCAAGTTCTGGTCAGGGATGTCCTGGAAACCTGGTTCTGAATTTGAACCTGGTTTAAATTATTAAGAAGCTGGAGTATTGTTAAGGTTGGTGCAATGAGCCAAGCAGTAAATATGGTTTTGTTGTAATTCTTGAGTGCACAGAGACAGAGACAGAGACAGAGAGAGAGAGACCTAGTGATAGAGAGGAGAGACAGAGATAGACATAAAGATAGAGATAGATAAAGAGAGAGAGAAAGAGACTCCTAGGAGTCAAGAGGCTCCCAGTAAAAACTAGGTCTGCAACTAGGGATTATTTTTATTGTCGTTTAATCTGTTGATTATTTTCTTTTCGACTAATCCATTCATTGTTTGGTCTATAAAATGTCAGAAAATTGTGAAAAATGTTTATCATTGTGTCCCAGAACCCAAGATGACGTCCTAAAATGTCTTGTTTTGTCTAGAAAATTGTATTTCCTGCGGAAAAGTGCGTGTGAATGCTAAAATTAACTTGCAAAACACTGCTGAAATATGTTCTACTGTCAGGAAAGTACAACACAAAAACAAAAAGACAGTATAAAAGGCTAAAAGCTGTAATGAGAAATAGAGAAGATCAACGTTGTGTCTGGGGCGGCTGTGGCTCAGGAGGTAGAGCGGGTTGGCCGTTAATCGGAAGGTTGGCGGTTTGATCCTTGGCTCCCCCTGGTTGCGTGTCGAAGTGTCCTTGGGCAAGATACTGAACCCCGATTTGCCCCTGGCCGCTGTTCCGCCAGTGTATGAATGTGTATGACTGGTGAATGCAGATGTAGTGTAAAAGCGCTTTGAGTGGTCGAAAAGACTAGACGGCGCTATACAAGTACGGAGCATTTACATTTTACATGCTGCTGTGTTACTTTTTACTTTTTACATGTACACTGAGTATCTTAGACACATAATGTCTTCCAGGATGAATTCACCAAGATCATTTTCAAGTTGTGAGAATATTAATTAATTAGGCTCAAACCATCTATCTTTTCAGTTAAATCCCGCTGTGCTCTTAACTCACCTCCTTCTGTGTTATAGCAGTAGGAGGTGTAGTGGCCAGAACCGAAGCCCTTCCCATGATGCATCACCACAGCAGAGAGGTCGTAGAGGAAGTGCTTGGGGCGCGGTGAGCCTGCAGAGCTGGGGCTGCTGGGACTGGAGCATGGCACAACTTTGGGTGAGGGCTCTTGGCAGTAGGGCTCCATGTCAAGAAGCTGGTCGAAGCTCACGTGGACTCCGATCTTCTCCCGGTGGTTTCGCCCAGACCACCTGAGGACCAATCGCAAGACAGAAAGCTAGTCAGTCAATCAAGCTACTAGTAAGAATCATAAAACCATCTGCATCATCATTGTGTTCAAATTAAAACAACTCCACACATTGATAATTTTTCATGGACTAAAAGCAGATTCTTTAGGTGACCTTAGAGAACTTTCAGAGCCAATGGGAGATGTTTTGTGTTTTACCTTTAAGAGAGCAAACAAGTAACTGTTGGCACCATTTCACAGGAGTCTTTCATTAGAAACATTTTCTATTTATGTAACAATAATAATCTGTCTTTCCCCTTACACTGCACTTTTTCAACTGAAAAAAAAATCATCTTTCAGCTACTAAAAGCAACATGGTACTATTTTTGGTACCAGACGTTCTGATACCTGACAAGCGCTACAGAGATTGACTGACTCTGGTGTATCATCATCATCATACCTGAAGCGTTTTAGGTGAAGCCGCAGGACCTGAGGCAGTTTGTGGACCATCAGCTGTTTTTGTGCTTCGGTCAGGAGGACTGGTTTGGAGGAGGTCCTTCGTCGAGCAGCTGCAAACAAGAGGAGAGACACTCAATAAAAACGTTCCTCCATTGAGTGTCGCCTCAGCTTTGCTGCATTCTCGTGATCAACGGCTTTGCAAGCTGCCTAGAACCGCAAAGAGTCCCTTTTACATGAAGATATTACAACATCTGATACTTATCTTTACCTGAATGTTGGTAAGTAAAGTAACAGACGTATATGACTTTGTTTGGGTTTATTTTAGCCGGTATTAAAGAGGTGGTATGGTGCTTTTTGGCTTTTTCCCTTTTCTTTATTGAGTTATATACCTTTTTTGTGCATGTATTAGGTTTGCAAAGTGAAAAAGCCCAAGGTCCACCCCAAAAGGAGTTCCCATCTCCCACAGAAAACTCTGCTCTGAACTGCCTGAAAACAGCTCGTTTGTAGTCCAGCATGTACTTCCCTTTCTTGTGACATCACAATGAAAATACGTGTCATAATGCTCGCTGAGCGGCTAGTTCGACACGCCCTCAAATACACCGGTGGAAAAACAGTGAGCTGCAGCACACTTCTCCTCTCCCTTCCAAACACTAGCTACCCTCCAGGCAGTCAGTGGACATGAAGTTGTTACTGTGATGTAGAGACAGAGCTCAGTTAAAACTTTATGGTTGAAAAATACTTTGTATTAATAACTCACCACTCTGAAACTCTTGCTCCAGTCCAAACTGCCAACCTGGTCGGCAACATGTAGCCTACAGCTGAATCGAAGCCGTTTACCGTCTTTTCGCTGACTCGCCCTTCTCTGCTTCTGATTGGCTAGTAGTCCTTAACTAGGAACTGCGCATGTACAACTCCCAACAAAGATCATTTACAGACAAGATGTATCACTCCATAGCTAAAAACTAAGCCTTCAACCCTTCAACACAGGGTGAAAAGAGGAGCTGCAGCAATGTGCAGTATGACACAAAATATGGTGTTTTTTGAAAATTAAACCATGTAAACCTGTTCTGGTACAACATCTAAATAGGATTTTGATACTGAAAATGAACATAATACCACCTCTTTAAAATGTGCCCAGAATGACTCAGGACATCTCTAAATATCACCTGATTTTACTCACCATTTTATGACTTCCAAAGCAGTAAATTCTAATTTTGGACAAATTTCAAACTTTTTTTCAACAATTTTATCCACAAACTTTTCTTGTTGTCATTGGTATGTATTCTAGCTAGGATGGGGCATTTTGTTTAATGACAAACAAACCATGTTAACAGGGCTTGAAATTAATTTTATATCACAATCTAAAATAGTTACCAGTTTTCAGACATTTTAGACAACATTACTGCACAGTTTGTATCTGCGCTGAGTCTAACAAGTCCTCTGTGTAACTAGGGCTGCACAATTAATCTAACTGCAATCGCGATGTCGTCATGTGCGATTTAATCAAACAGTGAAAGTGTATGTGATGCTCTCTTCTGTGTGTGCGTTGCAGTCTGCTCATTATCTCTGCCCACACGGGGCTTTCGCATGTGCCTCTAAAAACAGATAAGCCTAAGTGCAATGAGAAAATTGTTTTATGAGTAGTGTGCGAGTAACTTTTAAGACAACAACCCACCGTAACCCCCCTCCGCGCCCCGCCGCTAATCATTCAAAACATAGTCGGACTTGCCACCGGAACACCAGGGTAAATGCCGGTGCTTCAACTGTTGAAGCCGTAAGACAGAAGAAAACAGGGACAAGATAAGGAGGTTTGGCTCCCAGGACATTTAACATTAGCATGTTCAACTTTTCACAGAGCTGACGTGCTATAACTGATTTTAATACTCACGTGGTAAAAAGTATACAATTATTTGAAATTCTAATAAATGTAGTATTTAATATATTATTGTACACTAACAGGATACTATTAACTAAATATTATACTCTTTATTTAATACACTCATGTACGGTTCCTCCTCCAGGTTGTGGATACAGACAGATGTACATTGAGCCGGTGCCAGGGATGCCAATATGTGCTCCTTCTAGCCGCCTCCTCCGTAGAGCACGCTCGCCTTGTTCCGTTTTACTTGTTATTGTTATAAATATTGTTTATTGTTTAACTTGAGTTCAAGTTGAGAAATACACATTTCAAAATGTCAATATTTCGCACATTCCTTGATAATTAAGCAAATAGACTCATAGTACCATTTGTGCCATTATCATCGAATCGCAATTATAAATCTTAAGTGTGTGTGTGTTGATGTTGTTTAACTCACAGTTACAGTGGTCACAGGCGTAGATGTTTCCCTCCAGTGCTTCAGTCTCTGTGAACTTGGCCAGCATTTCTGTCAAATGGCACGAAGCCTGAGCTGCCGACTCTCTGCTATTACTGTGATACCGCTCAGGGAACTCCAGAGACAGATCCCAGAAAGGCTCCACAGTGTTGGAGCGATGGTCGCAGGCCAGACACGTCACCTGTACACGGGAGCAAGAGAAAATAAAGACATGATGGATGTAGTGGTATAAGTATATTATACATATAATCTTCTAACCCTACTTGTAACAGTGTGTTTTTTTTTATGTTTCTTTATCCTGTCCCTATTGAGTGCTGTAGTTAATAGCCACTGGGCCAAGATACCCCCAAAACCCTTTACAGACACACAGTCCTCTATTCAGCAGGAGCAGGTGTCACAGTGTGTGCTCAGCCTCCACAAGTAGACGCTAATCTCTTGTCCTCATACTAACTCTCTACACTCCCTACGTCTCTCTTCCATCAGTTGCTGAAATGATCTTGTGTTTGTGGATGGGGTTAAATATATAAAAATATTGTTATCAGTTGTTCATATCTCTGTCAGTTCTAAACCAGCTCTCACACTCAAGTAACAAAGCAGTATTTTTACATTAAGAAATTAGTCCTTTTACTTCACACTATTCATTAGACGTCACACTTTCAGTGTGAGATGCCCCAACTGAAGCTGAGACGTCAGACAAAACAAAGTGTGCCTTTTTGTGTTTATTGGTTAGGCAATTATGGTGAATATATGAAAAAACAGCACCTAATTTGCAACTCAGTGAGCACAGGTGCAATTAATTAGAGTTATTAATGATGTTAACACTACAATAACAGCCAGAAAGCTGTATTAATCAGGATCAGGGCTGCACAAAACATTTCTTTGCATTATGAGTCCTTGAAAATAAAAAAATAGCCATCGCAACTAAACCAAAGCTCAAGGTGATTTCTTAAAATTTCTTGTTTTGTCCAACCAACAATCCAAAACCAAAAAGTTTTCGGTTTAATGTGATGTATGACAAAGAGTCCTAACACTAGAGAACATGAAACCGGACATTTTATAGCATTTTTATGAACAATCTTTCATTGAAAAAAGTCACTGAAACAGTTTATCAAAATATTGGGTGTTTATTTTTCTGGCGATCCACTAATTGATTAACCGACTAATCAGGGTCATACCAAAGTTCATTACTGTGTCATGGTATAAGTTTTGAATTGAACAGAAAAATAAACATTTAGACTCATGTCATGCTGGAAGCTTAACCTCCACTTCAGCATTTAAAGTGAAACATGAATCCATCAGACCAATTTGATCTGAATTAATTATGAATTAGTGATCCAGTTCGGTCAGAGACGATTTAGCTGTTGAATTATCAGTGTGTAGGCGGATCTGAGTGGGTGCATGTGAGCAGGCATCATGATCAGTGAATCAGATGAAGCTTATGACCACCGCTGAGTTAGTTACAGATTTAAGTAAAGGTGGTTGTAGGTGTGTTTGTGTCGTACCTGGCTGAGGAGCTGGCCATGAAAGATGGTGTTGACCACACTAAGCACCTGCTTGATGAGTCGTTTCTGTGGGACTCCTGCAGTGGTTGTGTGCTTGCCAGTGCTCTCCAGTTCGTGCTGCACTTTGTCCAGCAGCTCACACAGGAACTCCTGAGCATCCTGCTGAGCGTATCCCCTGAACGCCGGGATCAGCTGCCACACCGAGTGAAGCATGGCAAAAGGCGATACCAGCGCCCACTTGCCAGACCACATAACCTGGAACAAGGTGTGCAGCTCGTGGCAGAGAGATATGTGTTTTGAGCTGGGCTCTTTGGGTTGTATTAGTTCCATGCTGCGAGTCCGTGAGGCTCCGCCGCTCAGCCCCGCCCCAGAGCCTGAGCTGGCCTGAAATACCTTCCTTTGGGTCAGGGGGAACTGGGACGAGGCCTTTCCAGCCAGTTGGCCATGGACGGCAGATGCCAGAAGCTCCAGTGCCTGGGTCAGATCCAGGCGCAGAAAGCACTCCCTGAAGACATGCAGGTGGCTCAGCACCTGTAGGATGGAGTTCATATAACAGGTGTTTCCTAAATTCCTCAGGCCCGTTACCCCAGGAGTGACTGTGGGACGCCGTTTGAAGGGTGAGCCACCCTGTTTATTACTCTGCTTGCGACAAGCAGGTGTTTGTGAAGAACGGGGGGTCGCTGAGGACGTTTTGGGTTTAGATTTGGTGGTAGAAGAACGGCTTTGGGGTTTGGGAGTTGGTTGGACCTTTTTCGTCCGTCCAGATTTCTTGGGGACAGCAGCGTCAGGGCTACGAGTCCTTGGCCTGCGGGTAAGAGACGGCGGCACAGGGGTTTTAGTCTTGTTGCGTGTCCTCCGCGATGGTGTTGTGACCGCCACATCTGCAACTCTTTGGCTCTTCCAACGTAACCGGCGACTCTTCCTGAGAGGGGCATTCTCCAGCTCCTCCTTTAGCTGCCTCTTTAGAGCCCGCCTCCTCTCCCTTGCCTCCCTTTTCTGCTCTTCCTCCTCCTCTTTCTTTCTCTCTTCTTCCTCCCTCTTCCTTCCGCATTCAGTCAGTCCAAACCAGAAGCGGAAGACACGTCCCATAAGTGCCCTGCGGCGGTGCCAGAGTGCAGTAAACATCCTATCCTCGTCCCTTAGCTGCAGCTCGCGTGCACCGGATGGCATGACAGAGTCCGGGGCAACGCTAGCAGAGCGGAGGGTGCGCCCACTGCGGGTGGTAACCTCATAGCGCTGGCTCTGAATGGCGCTGAGTGTACTACGAAGCAGCTTTAAGTCTCCTGTGGCGTTATCATTCAGGACATAGTCGTCACACAAGTAACAAAAAACGTAAAGTTCATTAACCTCCATAGCCAACGGGTGGTGCTGCTGCTGGAAGTGCTGCAGAGCATGTTCCTCGATGTAACGCCCGCATGCCACATGAGCACAGCCCAGGCAGGCCCACATGGACTCTGTGGTGTTGCAGTCCACGCAGTGCCACTTCTGGGGATTGAGGATGGAGTGGTCTGGGGCCAGCCGCAGCCGCCCCACATGCTTACACCTGTCCATTACACACGCCTGCCTGCCGAGATGGCTGGCTGTGTCAGTCAATAACTGACCGTCTGTGTGCGAGTCTGTGTGTGTGTGTGTCAACAATTCACACTGGCTTCATATCACCATGGTGAGCTGAGAAATGGGACCCTGCCAGGGCATGGTGGTGTCTAGAGGGGAAAGACAACAGACCTGGTTAGTAGAGATGAATAGGTGGAATTAGAAAGCAGGTGGAAATGGACGGTGCGTTAATAAAAGTTATACATAATTAAAAATGTTGTGTTCTTATTCACCTGCTACCCTTACAGGCCAAATATAAAAAAATATGTGGTGTATTTCTATATATCATAATGACATCCTGTTCTTTTCCTGGAAACACATCAATAAAAACAATATCTCAAAGTAATTACATCTAACCTCCAATGACTGTTTTATGAGGCCACAGCTATACACAGTAAACAGTGGCAAACAGCCAGGTGACACGCAGGATTTAACATTTCCCAGCTCTAACATGCGCAAACAGTAAAATAACTGGATGATATAAACATGACTGCACTGAGTGTTGCCAGGCACATCCACTAAAAAACAGAAGTGTTAAGTTAACAGTGAACTTGGATGTGAAACCATCAAAAAGCTTTTCCAGAGAGAGCAACTTAAGCACAGTGACAGTAGCCAGTGGCTTCACAGGGATATTAATATATTTTCATTATCAAAACTTCTCTCCCGCTAATACGCAGTGGGAAGTTCAAGGGTTGCTTCTTGATGAAATCCTGTCTTGTTTTTTTTTAAATCTTCTAACTGAAGAGTTGTTCAAAAACACTGATCGAACTATGGGTTTATACAATACTGAAGAACAACTAAACTCAACCCAAACCCAACAATCACTCTCCACTCAACCTCTTCTGGCTTCTTTTCAAATCTTTGGGGGCTGGTGTACCTCAGCCGAGAAACTGGGGATCCTTGAGTGGGCTGAGCCCTTTCAAACCCCTCCTGCTGAGGTCAAAGAAGTAAGATTATCCAACAAAAAAGGGAGTGGGATTGCAAACGGGTGCAACCTTTGTCTGGGTACAGGACTATTTTTTGCTGGGGAAATGAAAGAGTGGGAACCAAAGAAAGAAAACTGACTGCCAGGAAATGGCTTAGGTAAGAGCGAGTGAAAGTGGTGGAAAGACTTGGATGCAGGAGAGATGCTGTATTATCCCTTCATTCCATTACCCGCTATTATAAAAGCAAAACAAGCTCTAAGCCTTTTGGTCAAAGTAGGCGTTTGTTTACCAGTTATACTGAGGGAGTGGGCGTTTTTATTGATCAGATTGTGTTGCCATGAGTGTCTGCAGTCACTGTGATTTAAATAAAATCTTATTGTCACCTGTTGAGTTGACAACCAACATGAAGTTATATATATATGAGGAATATCCACATTGCAAATTACAGAGCTACAGTAGTAACAGAGCTTTAGTATAAAGCAATTGATATAATGTGAAGAAAATAAGTGGCGTCTGATTGCAAATAGTGCTTAGACTCTGGGTCAGTTGTCGCTTTAGTTTTATCAGTAAATTAGCGCGCTTTGCCTGGTTTGTCCTTGTGACTGCGTGGTTCTTAAAGAGGCTGAACACCCCGCAACCTTGCGTTAAAACAGGCTGAACAAGTCACAATAAAAACACTATCCGCTTGTCTGCCCTTTCAACAAACTGTGCGACATAATGGCAACACGAGTCGCATGATAAGGGTGGTCGAAACAGCTTAACTTTTAAATAACGTTACCTCTACAGCTAAGGTTAGCTAAGCTACAGCTAGCCTGTAATTGATACAGCTATTACAACATACTGAAATCACACACAAGGGAAATTAAAACCTCTACAAAAACATTACAGAAACATTATCTAAAATAGCCTTAAATACCAGTAGGATATACACAAACAAGCGACACCTGTACCAGCTCTCACGTTACCGTTTTGTATTTATTCAAGAGATTAAGGAGCCCTAGCTGTCCTGCTAGTATTAGCCTAGCATGCTAGCTAGCATTAGGCTAACTACGATAATCCCAACAAGTTCATGCGTTAGCTTGGGGGTCAGCTCCAAGCGGCAGGCTCCGCTTTAAAACAGACCTTCTGCGTGTGTTTAGACAAGAACAAACGCACCGTCAGCTACACTGTTAAAAATTTATTATGAATGACTCTGTGAGAAAAATAAATTTAACATACCGAGCCTCTCCTTCACGGCAGAAACTCCTCTGTTTCTAAAGTGTTCGCCATCTTGTCAGTCCCTGTCGCGTGGTGTTGGCTCGAGCGCGTCCTCGTTACGTGACGTTGTTGTTGTTGTTGTGGTTGATGATAGTGAGCGTGAAAATGTTCCCTTATTTTCTGTTTAAACTATATATATATGTACTCAAAGTCGTATTATACTGCAATTCTAGTGTGTTTGGTGTCATTTGGTATTTATTTAGTTAATGTTAAATAATGTTAAATGTTAGGTTTATTATATTTTAATTTGGTTTTTCGTGTGTGCTTAGTATTCCTGTAATTTGTGGTTCTTTAGTGGGCTTACAAGTAGTACTGTTACTTGTTGTTTATTATGTGCTGTGTCACTTCTTATAAAAATAAGCCAAAGAGGGACTAGACAAAATCTCAGCTTTGATAGTGAAACAGAAGTAGTGTAATTTTATTCCACTAGAGGGAAGTGTTGAACCATTTACATTCAAATACTACCAAACCAGCATTTAACCTGAAAAAAACAATGTCGGTTTGATCAAGGTGGATCTTAATAATAATTTTATAATAATTTTATATCTTTTTTGCTAGTCTCATGTATAGAAATGACTCCTATCTTATATGTTGATCATATGTTTTGTTTGAAAAATCTTTATTCTGCAATGTAACTCCAGCTTTCAAATCTGGAGGACAATCTAGAAGTACAATATTTACCATCAAATAGATGTTTAAAGTTGCAGAAAACAACATTTACAACATTAACATCTTCCTTGCAGTACCTAGTAATGCATCATTAAGAACCCATTAACATAACATATCCAATTACCAAACAATGTGAAAGGGGCCATTCCGCATAATACAAATAACTTTGGACAGGCGTCCACATTCTGTGGATAATACTTACACAATGTCAATATAGGACTATTACTTGGAGTATTTCTTTTACTGGTGGGTAGTTTTGCTTAAGCAAAATATGTGAATGCCATTGCCTTTAACCCTGAGAATGCCTTTCTTTTTCATGGATAACAAGTGTGTCTATTGCCCTCTGGCCCTGCAGTTGTACTTTTAGGAGGTAGTTTAAAGTCTTGTGTGCTGCTGTGAGATGCAGGTGCAGCACCTCATGCTGGTTAATGGGGGCTGGTGGTACTCACTATGTAGATCCTATCAGTGTAAGACAGCCGTTTTTATAAGACAACAACACTTTATCGGCTACTGGTAAAGTCTCAAAGTCCCAAGACCAAACCTGGAACAAAAAAAGGGAACACATAATTACTATATACATATATATAGAACATTGTGTCAGTATATACAGGAGCAGAAACAGCGGAGCTTATGGGAGAGTTTATAAAGTGATGTTACTATAACACATTGTAAATTCCTGTATAAATATTACAGTAATTTCATAGTAGGTAAATATCTCTATGAAAGAATAAAGGAAGGAGTTGATTTTCATTCAGGAAATTGTGCCTGAAGGAGGACTTTTAATCTCAACACACGCATGTGAAGAATCCCTCTCATGTACTGATTAGTGGGGAACTGATCCATACAAGCCTTCTTAAACCCCCACCGAACAGGGGGGGAGTGTGGTAATCGTTGTGTGTTTTTATGCAAGTGTGTATGTCAGTGGACCAGAGGTTTGTGTGAGAGAGATTAAGGGGCGTTTGTGAGTGACTTAGAGAAAGAGGTATGTGTTGATGTGCCATGCAATGCCTGTGGATCACCTCTAATGTTTTTCTCCCTCTGTATCCCCGGGCCTTTACCGCCTTCATGTCCACACATGCTAACTCTGCCTCCCTCTCTCCCTCCCTGTCCTCTTTTCATATGCACTCTCTCTCTCTCATAAACACACACATTTTTCTGTTACTGTACTTCTGAGTACCTTATGTTGATTCACATACTTCTATCTTTAAAGCTGCATTAATCAACACTTTGTAGTTTAACTCTGAATAAAAAAACAACAACAGTGATTTATATCCCTCAGTGCTGCAGCTCAACCTTGCTTTGGTGCTTCTTTTATTGTTTTGGTTTTATGGCATTTCCACTGTAATGCTGGTAACTACTGGTTCAGTGTCAGTTTTCACATGAAGCCTTGCTTTTATCACGCAAGCTGATAAAACCCAGCTGCCCAGCACAAAAACAGTAAACAGATAACATTTGTTAGAAGCTAAAGTGCCACATATTTTCCCCGAGTTGGTGGCGATTGAAACTGAGATGCCAGTGATTATTGGAGTTACATTCATCAGGTGGTCAGACATATTACTCATAGGGGATGATAATGTTGTTCTGTGTCTGTGTGTGTGAGTAGGTATTATTTACTGACAGCTGTAACGTAAAGTTTTCTCAGCCCCTAGTGGTCAAAAATCTGCAGCTTTAAAGGCCGACATTTACATATAATTAAAGGTACCTCATATCGTTTCTGACCACCATATGGAGCACTGGTTTTATGAGTGGGACAGTGTTGTGTTTGTATCTTGCAAGCGAACAAGGACATGGGCGGTTTGATACACGATTTTTACACTATTCTACTGATCAACAGTTGGTGGCTGTAATATGCAAAGAAAAAGCAAGGAAGAAGATGACTGCTAACAAATAAACAAGGAAATAAACAAATCATAATTTAAAATCTTTGAAAAAAATCTGAATTGGAAATGTGTAATAGGGAGTAAATGTGTTAATTATGTTTGTTAGACCTTCAGGTTACACACAGTATGTTACGGTGAGACACTGAAAGTAAACAACCCTTTTGTTAATTTGTTAGAAAACTCCTCAGAGCACCTTTAAACTGTTTTCCTGTTCAGTCTAATTGTATAGAGACAAACCCTATAGAGTCTTGACGTCACTGTGAGGCAGCTGACACTCCAGGAAGTCACTTTGCCCTGACAGAAAATAGCCAACATAATGCTTTTGTAGGGATTAAAGACATAATGTTTATCTTTGAACAGAGCCAGGCTAGCTGTTTCCCCCTGTTTCCAGTCTTTGTGCTAAGCTAAGCTAAACTGCAGCAGGCTGTGGCTTCAGATTTAATGTGAATGGTGATGACTGTCTTATCTACTGCTCAGCAAGAAAACAAACAAGTACAATTCCCAAAATACCAAACTATTCCTTTAAAATTTGCTGGACCAAACACCTGATGTTGTAGCTGTTTCTACTGGCACCCAAGGTTATGTTTAGGGCAGCAATAATAATGTTTTGTTTTGAATGAAAAACTGACTTGCATGACTGAACAAGGCAAATAGAGGCATCAACAGTGGTTGGTGGTGGTTAGAAAGATAGGACTGTTTGCTTGGATGGTGAAGTAAAATAAATAGATTCTAACACCTAAATAAATCAGTAGGCTACATACCGTATCTAAACCACAAACTCAAAGTCCTAACTGTTCTGCAAAAGTGAGGACCAACAGAGTTGCAGCTGCATTGAAAGGGTTTGTCACCTGGACCTCACAAGAGTAGAAATTCATAAACACACAGAGAGAAACATGCACCTTTGCAACCTGTTTTCATTGAAAGGTGGTTGATAATTTCAGTGAAAGGAATCCATTCCGGTGGTTTCATGGTGGTGTTAACGCAGCTGGATACGGTGTTGGTTTTGTGGCGGGTGAAAACACAGGTGCCCGGTGAGACCAGGGGAAATGCTTTACAGCCTGTAAACAAACACATCTCCTGTAATTTCTGCTCTGAGATTTGCAGCCTGCCTGCTCTGGTAGATGAGGCTGAATGTTAATGTTGGCTACTCGTCAGCTTCTGATGTTTAATCTGTTTTTTAAAAGAGTGTCCCAACTTGTCATGAGTGACTGTTCTCCCAAACTGTCTGTTGTCAAGTTGATGCGTGGGTTTGTTCATAATGACTTGATGACATCAGGTCCTTGTTTGCATGGCTGTATAATAATCAGCAGTAGCGTCTCAATCGCTCTGCTATGTCAACATCGCCCTCCCTGTTCTGGCTTGCTCCAATGCTCTTCAGGTAGACAAACATTCCTGATGCATGTGTGCATGCATGTGTGTGTCTTTGTGTGCAATTAAGTAAAAACCAAAGAGCATGGATGGGTTCTGTGGACAGCCATAATCTTCTCATTTCCTCTGTAAGTGAATCACAGCTGATGAGATAATACTGAACACATGACTCACATATCCAGAACACACTTCCTCTGACCATATTTATGAGGAGAAATCCCCTCTTTCTATATTTTCTGCCTTTATTTTCCTTCTTCCTGCCCTCCTCAGGATATCTCTGGGTGCTGGTAACTGTGTGACACCCATAGCAGGCCAGTTTTGGGGCGTCTGTCTCAGGGTGATGGGTGCTGCCGAAGAGGGGTATTGTGACTCCCAGCGAGAGGAGGGAAAGGTGGGGGTGGTTATTGTCCCCGAGCCTGCGGGAGCTGCCATGCACTCCGAGGCCAATAGCAACACAAGAATGCTGACAGGACAAAGGCCATAACTCCATTCTATACCAACACAAGCAGGGCATTGTGTTCATACAGGCACACACACACACACACACTCCTATACACACACATGCATGCATTCGCCATTACTACAATAACACACACACACACACACACACATAAACTATACTGGAGCAAACTATGCATCTGTGCAAGCATGCCAAACACTCATTCATCAACTAGTTTCCCACACCATGCAACCCCCCACAGGACATCTCCATCACTGAGCTGAGAATGGCCACTCAATCTGCAGACAATGAGTGAGCGAGCGAGCAAGAGACACAGTGAGAAAGAGAGAGAGAGAAAGAGACAGAGAGTGGAGGTCCATGGTTCAGCCGCAGCAGTTCATGATTTTGTGGCTCCCTGTTGCGTCTACACTTCAAGGCCAGTTCCCACCACATAAAACACCTCCTCCCCACGACTAACCTGAAGGTCTGAGCAGTACTGGAACAAGTACTCAGGTACTTTACTTGAGTAAAAGTACCAATATTATGATGAAAAATTTGTCAGTTACAAGTAAAAGTCGCACATTTAAGATAAGAAAAATGTAATCAAAAGTAAAAATTCCCCTCTGACATATTATGATATATGACATTATTAGATTAATACTGGGCAGCATTTTACTGTAGCTGGTTGAGGTGGAGCTATTTAGTTTGAACATACAGTTA